GATGAGTGGCGCTGCCTAATACTGTCACTATGGCGGTGTGTCCACTCACAGAATGAGTGGCGCTGCCCAATACTGTCACTATGGCAGCGTGTCCACTCACAGGATGAGTGACGCTGCCCAATACTGTCACTATGGCGGCGTGTCCACTCACAGGATGAGTAACTATACCAGCCCTCCGACAGCAAAATGAAAAACATTAACCCACTAAACAGGCTGACGCCACCACCAACAAACTGGTGGATCTAAGAGGGAGCTGATATACCAGAATAATGCAATATTATCTTCTATCCAATTGGCCGTTATCTTGGCATCTCTGGATCCGCTTGCACCGACCATACTTACGCAAACAACTTGCTGTATCAGTCCAAAATTAATTCAGGGATTGCAAATTGCACATTGAAATTAATATTAATGGGGTCACCTGTATCAGATGTATTTGTGCAATGTTGAGTCGGGAAAAATATTTCATTTAAAATTTTAATTGATTGCCTGGTAATTGAATGTTAAAATATTTGTTTCACATTTTGATATGTTGCAAATTAGAAAATGAGATTGTGGGAATATCTGTATTAGAAAATTCCACAGGAAAAGGGGTAAATTTGCTTTAGAATATTTTAAATCTCATTTGATTTTTTTAAAATGGATTCTAATTTAGGTGTGTGTGTGTGCGTTCACCTAGTTGTGCTTGCGGGGGTTGAGCTCTGGCTCTTTCGGCCCGCCTCTCAACTGTCAATCAACTGTTTCTACTACTACCTTTTTTTTTTCCACACCACACCACACACACACACACACACACACACACACACACACACACACACACACACACACACACACACACACACACACGTTTCAAGTGTAGATATGATAGAGCCCAATAGGCTCAGGAACCTGAACACCTGTTGATTGACAGTTGAGAGGCGGGACCAAAGAGCCAGAGCTCAACCCCTGCAAGCACAACTAGGTGAGTACACACACACACACCAGGAAGCAGCCCGTGACAGCTGACTAACTCCCAGGTACCTATTTTCTGCTAGGCAACAGGGGCATTGGATGAAAGAAACTCTGCCCATCGTTTCTCGCCAGCGCCCGGGATCGAACCCGGGACCACAGGATCACGTGACCAGCGTGCTGTCCGCTCGACCACCGGCTCCCATGAGCCCCGTGTGTGTGTACTCACCTAATTGTGTTTGCGGGGGTTGAGCTATCTCAACCGTGAGTCGTGAGTCTTACTATCGACTCACGACCAATTTCCTCTATCATATCTGCACTGCGTTTGCGTCCCGCCGGGGAACCGAACCCGGGTCCTAGAATTATGAGTCGAAGATGTTGACCACTGAACCGCGTGTGTGAATGCGCGCGCTAACTCGTGTATTTTCGCGTGCGCGTGTGTGCGTGAGAACCCGCGTATATTCAACTAGAGTCGCGTGTTGCTCTGTAGTGAATAAGAAACTGCCCAAGAGTTTAGACCTCCTGTCTGGTCTATTGTGCCATCAACTGTGTAACTATGTCATTGACTCAAGTGAACTGGAAGACATCCTAATCGTTTATCTTACATTTGCTTATCCATTTTTAAGAAAAAAGAATGATAATTTGATTTATCATTAGTGTTTTCTAAGCTGCATATCTCACGAACCTTTTCCTCTGTGGTTGTGGATGATAGACAGTTGATATTTACGAATTCGTGAATTGAAACATGTGTCATATGTGGTGAAGCTGCCTGTAGCCTCATGAAACATGTGTCATATCTGGTGTAGCAGCCTGTAGCCTCATGAAACATGTGTCATATCTGGTGTAGCAGCCTGTAGCCTCTTGAAACATGTGTCATATCTGGTGTAGCAGCCTGTAGCCTCATGAAACATGTGTCATATGTGGTGTAGCAGCCTGTAGCCTCATGAAACATGTGTCATATGTGGTGTAGCAGCCTGTAGCCTCTTAAAACATGTGTCATATGTGGTGAAGCTGCCTGTAGCCTCATGAAACATGTGTCATATCTGGTGTAGCAGCCTGTAGCCTCTTGAAACATGTGTCATATGTGGTGAAGCTGCCTGTAGCCTCATGAAACATGTGTCATATCTGGTGTAGCAGCCTGTAGCCTCATGAAACATGTGTCATATCTGGTGTAGCAGCCTGTAGCCTCATGAAACATGTATAATATCTGGTGTAGCAGCCTGTAGCCTCATGAAACATGTATAATATCTGGTGTAGCAGCCTGTAGCCTCATGAAACATGTGTAATATCTGGTGTAGCAGCCTGTAGCCTCATGAAACATGTGTAATATCTGGTGTAGCAGCCTGTAGCCTCATGAAACATGTATAATATCTGGTGTAGCTGCCTGTAGCCTCATGAAACATGTGTAATATCTGGTGTAGCTGCCTGTAGCCTCATGAAACATGTGTCATATCTGGTGTAGCAGCCTGTAGCCTCATGAAACATGTGTCATATCTGGTGTAGCAGCCTGTAGCCTCATGAATCATGTATGTGCTTCAATCTCCAATTGAGGCCTGTTGTCTTGTGTATGATGTGTCGTGTGTATGATGCTGTGTGGTGTGTGTGATGCTGTGTGGTGTGTGTGAGAGAGAGAGGGAATACGAGCAGCACCTGGCTGTAATAAGACCTTGTTGAGTTACTAAGGCTAACCAACATTGTATATTCTGTCATTAAAGATGTTGCTGGCGCTGAGTTTGTCAACACCGCCCTTGCAACCACTCGTAGTTTAATGCAATAACACAGTTCCCTCCCTTGTCTTGCATTAATTGTTTGCATTTTAAATCGTGCAATGAGTTAGTTTCAAGATCTTCTTTGTCTGAGAAAATCAACTCAAGCTCTATAAGGTGAATTAAGCTCGTTTCTCTAATTGTTATTCCACGTGTTTGGGAGCTCTATCACCGAAGTTGTGTGTCTCTAGTCTCTCGTTTTGATGGGCCAACATTTTTGAGCAATGCATAATTCTCGGTAACTTTCCATGGGATCTTGCATGTCGCAAACATGTTTCCCTTTTATGGCTCTTCAGGTCCCGCAGCTCAAGAACGAACCTTGTTGCATTTTTTTTTTATCTGTTTCAGTTCCGTTTAGTGGTTTTTTTCTTCAGGTGAGAGTTCTCTGCTGGGGGGGGGGGATATTTTTACCTGAATTTACCTGAAGACGAGATTAGGATTCCTGTGGCATGTTAAAGGTTCCCTCAATGTTCCTGTGGATTTTTTTCTATTGGATTTTGAGCTCAAATATCGTCTTGGTATTTATAACTTCGGCGGATAGGCCTGTTTCAAGTTTTTTTTTTAACCCTGTGGATGAAAAAAAAATCTTTTTTTCAGTCCTACATTGTGGCTTGTTGGGCTTGAAGCTGTTGAGCCTTGTATGTGTCACATATGACCTTTTAACAGAAGGTGTCGGGATTAATATCCTCCAACTTGTTCAGTACGTTCAAGATCTCGTCAAGATCAGCCTTGTCATGTCTGGTTTGCAATGTTTATAGTCATGTGGGCGTCAACCGTTCTACTAGTAAGAGAGTTGACTTCGTTCTGGGATGATTTTTGTCCCTCTGGGTGGTACAGTCTCCAAAGTATATATCACACATATAAATATAAAGTATGTATACTTTATACATATAAAATATATATGTTCTTCTCAAGGTTAGGCCTCCGTGCGTGGTCATGATAGTCTAAATGGAGAGCAACAAAGACTTTGGTGAGTCTAAGAAAGACTAAGAAAGTAGTTTATTAACCACTTTCTTTTCCTTGAAGTCTAAGGATTGTATGACTTTTCGTAAAGTTTAAGTGGCTACTTTTACAGCAGCTCCCACTTGTACAACTTTCAGTGTCCACCGGATCAAATCTTCTATGTCCTCTTCTTCGCCAATTTGGTGTATGGTGGAGTTGTTGATATAATAGTCGTGATGTACATTGTTATGCAACATATGCAAGGTCTTGCAATTTTAAATATTGAAAAAGCATTTGCCAGTCGTCTGATCATCTGTGGGGTTCAAGTAGATCTCCTGGTCAAGGCTCAATGACGTTTTTGGTTCCTGCTTTACCTCGTATCTTAGAGTCACGTGCGAGTCTTACGATGTGGTTTGTAAGATTCTTATCTGTGTCACTGATGAGTGACCAGGGAGTGGCCCCAAGATGGAACTCCATCTTGGAGTTCTTGTGGTGAGTGATGCGGTACTCCAATCACCACATTTTTCCAATCAGATTCACTCCCCTATTTAGGAAGATCCTTTGCTTTTATCGTATGTAATTTCCTTGTTAGTTTTCCATGGGGTACCGTGGAAACTAACCGGATTGTACAAATGTTTGTTTGTACTCCACAATGTTTCTGTTACCTAGCAGTAAAATAGGTACCTGGGTGTTAGTCAGCTGTCACGGGCTGCTACCTGGGGATGGAGGCCTGGTCGAGGACCGGGCCGCGGGGGACACTAAAAAGCCCCGAAATCATCTCAAGATAACCTCAAGATACATATGGACTTCAGAGAAATCCTTATGTACTGGAAGCCCTTTGTCTGAATGGCATGTGAGCTAAGGCAAGGTTGATTTCTAACAAAACCACGTTGATTTGATTTTTCTGGACTGTGCTCTGTATGATGATGGATGAGTCCCGTCTTGTCTTAGAAGTCTCTTCGTGTGCTTGCTGGTACGCGAAGTTACGCTGATTGGTCGGCAGTTTTCCGCTGAGGTCTTTTTGCCCTTGCTGAAGATGGGGTGAGATTTGCATATATTCAATCTCGGGAGAACTTTCTCTTGGTCCTGGGATTTTCTGAGTCATAGTTTCATTGGTGGACACAGTTCGTCAGTTAGTGCCTTTGCGATGTTGGGTTGAATTCCATCCTCACCTGGGACTTTGGATTCCATTAATTTGTCAGTTCTTTTCCTGTTTCTTTGCCATGTTATGGGAATATTTCTTAATTCGTTTTCCTCACTTGCTTCAGACACTTATAACATGGTTGATTTCATCTTTTAAAGGGTTCTATTGTCTTTTCTCTTGGTTCTACTTCTTACATAAGCATGTATGCGGAAGTATATCGAGTAGGAAAATGGAACGAAACGTTCCGAACGTTTCCGTGTTTCAACACATTATCACGGAAATGCTGTAACCGAATCACGTGTTTTTTTTTGTGATTATTCTGCATAAGCATATATATATATTTTATATATTATATAAAATGTTTTGCTTATCAGTCTTATCTCTTTTTAAAAGGGTCTTTATATTTGAGGCAATTTTTCCGGTTTTCTCTCTCCGAAGGTTTTGAATCTGTCCCCAAAGGTTCTGAATCTGTCCCCGAAGGTTCTGAATCTGTCCCCAAAGGTTCTGAATCTGTCCCCAAATGTTCTGAATCTCTCACCAAAGGTTCTGAATCTGTCCCCAAAGGTTCTGAATCTCTCACCAAAGGTTCTGAATCTGTCCCCAAAGGTTCTGAATCTGTCCCCAAAGGTTCTGAATCTGTCCCCGAAGGTTCTGAATCTGTCCCCGAAGGTTCTGAATCTGTCCCCAAAGGTTCTGAATCTGTCCCCGAAGGTTCTGAATCTGTCCCCAAAGGTTCTGAATCTGTCCCCGAAGGTTCTGAATCTCTCACCAAAGGTTCTGAATCTCTCACCAAAGGTTCTGAATCTGTCCCCGAAGGTTCTGAATCTCTCACCAAAGGTTCTGAATCTCCCACCAAAGGTTCTGAATCTCTCACCAAAGGTTCTGAATCTCTCACCAAAGGTTCTGAATCTCTCCCCAAAGGTTCTGAATCTCTCACCAAAGGTTCTGAATCTCTCACCAAAGGTTCTGAATCTCTCCCCAAAGGTTCTGAATCGGTTTCCTCAACGTCACCAACAATTTCAGTGTTTCCTGCAGATTGCCTGACCACCCTGGGGGAATCTTCTGCTTTACCACATGTATAAAGTCTCCCAAGATTGCTTCTTATTGATAGTTGCAATAAGATTACTGAAGATCCTTAAGTGGCATCATAGGTTCCTCCTGACCCTCTTGTGGTCCATTTCTGCTTTCGTCGACTTTATTCCTCTCTATTCTATTTTTTTGTTCCCATATATTCCCCAATGGCAGTGCTGGATTCATTGACTTGGCTATTGCATGCAATGCAGTCAAATTTAAGGATGCTTTTGTCTTCGGGTTTCTCATTGTTGCATGCACTGAGTAATACTTTGATTGTGTTTATATTTTGAGCTGGTGCAAAAATTTGCAACACTCACACACCTGATTGCTTGTATAGCCTATATACCTTTCATGCCCATAACAATACCTGTGTCACTAATACGTCTTTATTCAATTGCAGGATCAATATATGTATATATATATATATATATATATATATATATATATATATATATATATATATATATATATAGGGGGGTACCACCACTGGTGCATTTATAGGGACCCACAGCCTCAGAGAAGGGAACACAGAGCACTCAGGGAAAAACTTGACATTTAACTCTGAATACGAAAGAGTGTTCACTTCTCCTACCACCCCCTTTTTTTTTTTTTTTTTTATTTATTATGATGTACACTTTATTATGCAAGGTTATACAGTTACATATCTGATTTTATACAAAAAATAAACATTAAGAGGACACAAGAAAAAGTTCGCTTCCTAGAGGCTGTAGATTTCCTCGAACTCCTCCGACGCCGGGCAGGAACCGAAGATGCAGCGGGCATTCCCCCTCTGGATCGCGACACTGAGGCGCTGAAAGAGAAAACTTGCTGCTCTAGGGTCTCTTGTGGTGTCAATGAGCTTGGAACCAAGATCCTTAAGAAACCTTCTTGCACTCTCACCCCATGGGCCTAGGGTCTCAGACCCTATTGGAACGAAATTGTACCTTTGATCTAATTGCCTGTACTTGACTGACTTTTGTTTTTCTCTGTGTGTCGCTGCGGCTCCCGCCGTGCCGGCAGAGAGGGTGATGTATGTCGTTGCCAGGGTGGATACGCAAGTATAGTCCCATGCTAACTGCCTGCCACCCTTCCACGGACGCAGTGTGATTCCGTCTGGTCGGCCGGCAAAGCTAACAGAGTCACGGTTCAGTAGGTTGCGGGGCTCTCTCTCCGCTGGACACTGAGCAGAGGCAAGGCTTCTTTTAATGATGTCGTTGACTTCGTCGTGTCTAGTGTGCCAACCACCCGATTTTCCACAGTGCAGGCCATGCAATCCATATTCGTCAGCATCTGCCTCGCCGCAAATACACCTGTGAACAGTGTGGATAGGGGCAGCTAGGCGGAGAGCGACTGCAATACGGAGCTCCTGCGGATCAAGACGTGTGCCTGTCGCAGACATAGGGACTGCCAGAAGGAAGTCCCCTGCATGGGGAGCCTGCACAGCTGTGAGGCGTGCACGATCACTGGGGGTTGTTGCTGCCTCCAGCAAAGCTGTGGCTTCTTTGTCTACAATGGGGCTGTCCCAACTGGATTGTTTCTTGGCTTTCGGCATGGCTGGTCTGAGTGCTGGGTCTGTCATGGCACCCCATTTCGTGTCGCATTCCGTGTAGTGGGGGTCCTGTATCCCCGCTACATCACTCAGGGTGTCAGGTAGAATTTCCTTAACCAGGTCATCTGATGCTGAGGAGGAAGACAGGAAGGCTGGGACAGCAATTTGGGTGGCGGTGCGGACACCCAAGCCACCGAGCCTGACAGGAAGAGTGGCTTGTTTCCACTGGCATTCGTTGAGGGAGAGGTTAACAACTTTTTCCAGCATGGTCTTCAGTAGGAGGTCATACTCGTCAAGCTTTGGGTTGTTGTAAGATGGGGCGCACCTCAGAAAGTAGGTTAGCCTCGGAAGGGAAAGGCATTTGGTGAGGAGATAAAAAGCATCGTGGGCATCGATGTCACCTATTCTGTCTTCCATCCTCCTAAGGTCTGCGATTTTCTTGTCGAGGATCTCCTCAATGGCGTTAGACCCGAGGGGAGCTCCAAGGAGGGTGCTGTTCTCGGCCCTAATGACATGGGCTCCAGGCAAGGCAGACCTTATTCTAGCTACGATGTCTGGGTTGGAGGAGACTACTTCACACTTGGAAGGGTTCAGGACGAGACCCAGGCTTACTTCTTGCTCCCTTATTTTCCTGATATCTGACAAGAGGTGGTCTACGGTGCCAGCTATAGTGCCATCATCCAAAAACCAGATGTTGAACTCGCTGGACAAGCTTTCGGTGATTTCTTTTAAGACTAAGCAGAAAAGAAGGGGAGCAAGAGGATCACCTTGCTGAACACCCTCACATGATCTGATTTCATGTTCACCAAAGAGCAGTTTTGACTCGCCACTGTAGCACGATAGTATGAACGGGTAGAGGGGCCGGAAATGGCGATGTACGGCACAAAGTACTGCATCTCTTCTTACCATGTTGAAGGCATTCTTAAAGTCCAGTTTGAGCAGGGCCTTTTCATCAGAAATGTTTGTGATGTATGCTCGTGCTGCATGGGCAGCCGCTTCACAGCCTTGGGGGATTCCAAATCCTAGCTGGATTGGTTTCAGCAATTCAGCCGCTTGCTGGCTGACAACCCTCGTAGCAGCCTTGGCAATCAGGCGTCGGAGAGTGTTGCCAACAGCGATTGGCCTGATTCCTTCGTCCTTCTTTTTGAGAGCACAGAGGGAGGCACCAAAAAAGAGAGGCCTGATGACCTCAGGTATCTCACCAGCCAGACACATGTTGACGAACCTTGTGAGTTCCATAAGAAGATCTTGTGCAGCATCACCAACCGCAGGATTTAACATTTGCTTGATATGTTGAGGTTTTAACCCTGTAAAGCCGCCTGCTGACCCAGGTGGAAAAGAAAGGGCTGCTTTGTAGACCTCAGATTCACCAACGGTTAATGGGTCTGAAATGGTGTCGGCTGATGGCGGAACGATGTTGTTGCCTTGAAGGGCTCTGGGTGGGTGCTTGCTTTGCAGGGCCAGTGCTGTGGCTGAGTTTCGAGGAGCAATTTTCTCGTCACTGGTGAGGACTCTAATAGCACTTGCGGTATTTCCCTCTTCAATTTTCTTGGTGATTTGTGCTCTGATTTTGTACGTTTCCGGTATGTTGTTGTTACCATTTCTGCGGTGGATGTGTTTTGCTCGCAGAGGCAGGCGAACTAGGTTGTCCCCCTTGGGTATTCATTTATCGCCCTCAGGACCGAGGAAGCAAGTGATTTGTCCCTCCTTGGAGGGACGTTGAGGCATACATTGCCAAACAGAAGGACATTATGCCACGCTTGAATGTTTTCCGGTGCATCATTGACCCTTTTCAGAAGATTACAAAGTTTGGCTGCTGCATTTGGGCGGGCTGCTTTTGGGATGTGTGGTAATGTTCTAGCAGACGTCGCTATGATCGCTTGGGTGAGGTTCTCAGATGAGATTAGGTTAATGGGAGTCTCTTCCCTAACTGTTAATGGCAGCTGGCCATTGCTTCCCTTCGGAAGCTGGTGGGAACCACTGCATCTTTCGTCGTTGAAGGTGTGAAAGCGGATAACACCACCGGTGGAGTTTATGGCGGTGTTTTTGTTGCATACTCGGCAAAAACCTCTTTTAGGAGCAGTTGTTGGCACCTCAAGGCTTGTGGAGTCCTGCCCGACCGCTGGGACCCCTTCCATTTCAACTCGGTTGGCAGAGTTAAACTGTGCATTATTCTATAGAGGGGAGCAAACACACTGGGTCATGGCCAAGCAACTGGGTGTGGAGCCCAGTTGTGTGGAGCCCAACCCCATACTCCATCCTGTGGGTGGTAGTGGACCCCATACTCCATCCTGTGGGTGGTAGTGGACCCCATACTCCATCCTGTGGGTGGTAGTGGACCCCATACCCATCCTGTGGGTGGTAGTGGACCCCATACCCATCCTGTGAGTGGTAGTGGACCCTATACTCCATATATATATATATATATATATATATATATATATATATATATATATATATATATATATATATATATATATATATAAATATATATATATAATGTTATTATTGAAGTGATTAGTTATTTGAACTTAAAATATTATGCCTAGCTTACGGTCACCTCAACGTTACTTTGCACGGACTGGAGTTAAACTCTAAGAACCACTTGCTAGACTTTTAATTAAATTGAGGCCGTCCTGGAAGTTTTAATGAGATCATCCAACGTGTTTATCCTCCTCATAATTTTGGCGCCTGTGTGAGGGAGTTTGTGTGCAATAGCAGCGTGTTTCTTTACGCTAGCGTGCGGGATATCGACGTTACTGTTTTCACGCGGGTTTGTGTTACATTACCTGATATGTCTTGCCTCGCGCCAGACGGAACGAAGCCCCTTATAAAAACACCTTCAGGTGTTCGGTTAGTTCCGGGTGGAGGCTCTTACTTATGATTTATTTGGGTGATTTGGTTCATTTATGATGTACTCTGTACTTTATCTTGTGGGTGGTGGTGGAGCCTATATTTCATCCTGTGGGTGGTGGTGGAGCCTATATTTCATCCTGTGGGTGGTGGTGGAGCCTATATTTCATCCTGTGGGTGGTGGTGGAGCCTATACTTTATCCTGTGGGTGGTGGTGGAGCCTATATTTCATCCTGTGGGTGGTAGTGGACCCCATACCCTTCCTGTGGGACGTAGTGAACCCCATACCCATCCTGCGTGTGGTAATGGACCCCATACCCATCCTGTGGGTGGTAGTGGACCCCATACTCCATCCTGTGGGTGGTAGTGGACCCCATACCCATCCTGTGGGTGGTAGTGGACCCCATACCCATCCTGTGGGTGGTAGTGGACCCCATACCCCATCCTGTGGGTGGTAGTGGACCCCATACTCCATCCTGTGGATGGTAGTGGACCACATACTCCATCCTGTGGGTGGTAGTGGACCCCATACCCATCCTGTGGGTGGTAATGGACCCCATACCCATCCTGTGAGTGGTAGTGGACCCTATACTCCATCCT